TAAAGAATTCAAGGTAACACGGAGTGAGATATCGATATACAAAAGATCATTTTGTACTCCTTGGAACATACTCGAAAGGGGGACTCCGGTCGATTTCATTCACTCTGTGTTCGTAGTACATGCACTTTTTGAGTGCAGGTGTTCTGAACGGCGCATAAATATTTCATCACGTGTTGGTGTCTCACTTTCACGCCTGGCACCAGTATCATGTGACCGGCTGGATCTGAGTGTTTTCTGACCACTGTGGTGATCTGGAAGCAGCACCAGAAGGAATGAGGCTCTTACTGTGACACAAAGGAGATGAATTGTTGGTTGGCCTTAAATTATGTTCTTACAGTTCTCATCAATAAATGTTTTAACCATGATGAGAAGCTTCAAAGGTTACGTTGAAATCACAGCTCAAGCCTAGTGGTGTGTGTGTGTGTGTGTGTGTGTGTGATGGTGTGTGTGTGTTGTGTGTGTGTGTGTGTGTGTGTGTGTGTGGTGATGTGTGTGTGGTGTGTGGTGTGTGTGTGTGTGTGTGTGTGTGTGTGTGTGTGTGTGTGTGTGTGTGTGTGTGTGTGTGTGTGGTGTGTGTGTGTGTGTTGTGTGTGTGTGTGTGGTGTGTGTGTGTGTGTGTGTGTGTGTGTGTGTGTGTGTGTGTGTGTGTGTGTGTGTGTGTGTGTGTGTGTGTGTGTGTGTGTGTGTGTGTGTGTGTGTGTGTGTGTGTGTGTGTGTGTGTGTGTGTGTGTAAATAAACCTGTGGTGTAGGAAAAACAAACTAAACCATTATGTTGTTTTTAGTGCTGGGCAGCGATTAATCAATTAATCGCAAGATTTTGTTATGCGCAAAATTCAACAATGAATTCAAAAGTATTGTATTGCTCACTTTAATTAATTCACTTTAAAGTACTGCTATATGAACAAAGGTGCAATAACATTTGGTTTGCAAACACTTTAAACAAATTAGGTGTTTCTTAACAGCAGCATTGGCCTTTACACAGTAGCAGTTAAAATATTGATTGGAAATCTCAACCTAAACATGAATTAATGTAATCAAATATAAAGCTATTTGCCAATGCCAGGGCATTAACATGTTATCTAGTTTGTTATAGAAGAACAAGTTACCCTCAGAGTCCAGATATAAGAACATTCTTCTGACCCGTACCTGTTTTTTCCATCTCAGGAACATTGCCAAGCTCAGGGGCTTTCTATCCAATGCAGAACTGGAGATGGCTATCCATGCCTTTATTTCATCCCGGCTTGATTATTGTAATGCTCTGTTCTCCTGCCTCAACAAAACATCAATAAACCGGTTACAACAGGTCCAAGATGCTGCAGCCAGATTACTGACTCGGTCCAAAAAAACATGCCACATCACTCCGATTCTTTCTGCCCTGCACTGGCTCCCTGTCCATCTCAGAACCCAATTCAAAGTACTGGTCTTCACATATAGAGCTGTCCATGGCCAAGCCCCAACCTACATCAATGAACTTATCCACCCGCACATCACAACCCGGGCCCTGAGGTCCTCTGAGCAAGGCCTCCTAAGGGTGCCCCGAACCAGGCTAAAGACTAAGGGTGACCGTGCCTTTGAGGTGGTGGCCCCAAGGCTTTGGAACAAACTCCCCCAGATAATAAAAACCTCGGCCTCAATAGAGATTTTTAAGCGGCAGTTAAAGACACACCTGTTCCGACAGGCCTTTGGGTCGTCGGAGGAGGTGAGTTAGTGGCTGTCTTTTTTATTGGTGTTTTGTCGTATGTTTTATCCTATGTATTACCTGCTGCTGTTTTATGCCTTTTATTCTACATTTTATAGTTGTACTTTGAATTGTGTCCTGTGTACTGTACTGTAAAGCACTTTGTACATCCGTGTTGAGAAGGGTGCTATATAAATAAAGTTTTACTTACTTACTTACATTCAACTTAGCAGTGGTTACAAATAATTCTGGTTCTATCAACTCCGCCGTCTGGAAGAGATGTAAAAGTAAGAGTTCGGTACATTTCTCCATGTTCTCCAAAAAGTGTTTATTAATACAGTTTACCTATTTATCTGGATTTCATTCATTTTTGTGAATATAACCTTGTGAATTTGTAATTTTTTAAGTTTGCATTGTTATTTCAGACAAATACATTTGAACCAATTTCCCAGGATAAAGGCATGATGAAACAACAAAGGCAGCCTATTGAATTAGAGCTGCACGATTAATCGAAAATGTATCAAATTTGCAATATGGACTATTGCAATATCAAAATCTATGTTAAAAAAAAATAGGAACAACTATAATTGAATATGAATTATGCCTGTTTTACACATATTTCTTGTTTGGTACAAATCACACCATGGTCATTTGAATATATTTTATCACGATTGCAAAATAATCACAATCAGTTGTTTTTCTTATTGTGCAAAATAACTGATTGTGCACATTAATCACTTAATCCCATAATTATGATTAAGTGATTTTTAAAATGAGAGGAACAACATAAGAAAGACAGATAGAAGTTATTTTAGATCTGTTGTGCTCAGCAGCACTGAGCAGATGTTGGGATGCTGTGGCCGCGGTGTGAGGACAGCAGTCACATGGACACCAGCTTACAGCTAACCCTCCCAGTACCAACACTGCTCCAGGGTGTTGGTTTAGCAACCGTCGCTGTGTCTGAGAATGTTGGAGCTTGTTGTGGGGGGAGGGGGGGCAGCTCCAGTAGAAATGTACTCAGGGGCCTCATTTATAAAGGGATATACGCTCAAAAAATGGCGTACGCCAGTTTCTACGCAATGTTTGCGATTTATAAAATACTAACTTGACGGGAAAATGTGCGGTCCTCCACGCAAACTCTAACCCATGCGTACGCACTAAGCACAAACACGGGAGAGACGAGAAACTGCGACACCGTTGGCAGAAGGAAGAATGGAGAGATGTGTGGAAATAATACCATAAATAAAATGTTACCTCTCATTTATCATAATCTTAAAATGATTAAACAAACGCCTGTTTGCGACTCCTCAGTGCACTCAAAAACATAACTTGGAGAAATAAATAAATACGGATATGTTATTTAAAACCACCTCGAATATGTTGTGTTAATGTTATGAAATGTTTTCTCATAAATGATGCGGTTTTGCATTTCATTTCTTACAGTCTCTCATCAAGGGGGGTCTCCTGTCCCCGGTACAAACACACTGCCTGAGGAAGGCTATGTGTATTTGTTTTGTCATGAACCTTTTTCGGACCACTTATTTATTTATGTTGGTGACGATCCGACCTCCATGCTGCTACTCTGGTTCAAACGGCATCCACCAAACAATATAATTTATCTCCACCTCCCCAAAATAACCAAAATCTGACACGGTGTGAGATGTCTTTTTTAGCTGTTCTGTCGTCATTTCCTGCGATCTTCTTCACGCAGTCAGTCAGAATGAATGAATGAATGGGCGTTTCTTTGACTATTTATAGGCAAATATGGTCGTTACGTGAACCCCGCAAAAGCTGCACCGCATTTCGAGTTGGTTGTGATTTATAAAGGGAAACCGGCGTAGGAAGTGCTGTACGCACTTTCCTCGCCGGTGCGCAATGTTTGGTGAATCGGAAAATGTCGGAACATTTCTGTACCTATTTTTTGGATTTCTACTACGTAAGCAACCTTCCCACGTGAATCCTACGCACGGCGTTATAAATGAGGCCCCAGATCCCCTCAAACCAGCAGTGATGTGAGGGGCTGGGACCAAAATGCTATAAATCCTCAGAGGCTGTGCCCTTGAGCAAGGCAATACCTATATCTTGTAGCCCATTCATACACATTTGTATTGTTTTATTAAAGAATGTTTTTTAGTATATTATTTTAACATTTGTATTCAGTTTTTACACCATAAATCTGTCATTTATTTTAGCAAATATTTAAGCACATACTGTTTTTAAAAAAAATATATATTTAAGATGGTTTGGCTTATTGAAAGCTAAGGATCATTCCAGTGTTGTCACTACATTATATTTTTGAAATATATGAGCTCAAACCGAATAAGCAAAATTTGACTGAGCAAATAAAACATGCAAACAAACATGAAATACATACATTTAAAAAACAAACGGGTGAACAGTACAAAATGGTAAATGAAAAATCCAGAGTAGTCTCTCTAAATAAAGTATACTCACAAAAAGCAATGAAAGAAACACATAAGTTAAAAAAAAAAAACGGGTGAACACAACAAAAAGAAAAAAGAATCCCAGAGCAGCCCCAAAACATATGCATGCATGTAGCACGGAAATGATGTGGCTTATTGGCAGCTGATTGCAGGATTCTTGTTGTTTTGAGTTTGTATCTTCATAGTGGATTCCTGTTATAAGTTGCGTTAGGTAAAAGCTTTAAATATATGACATTTAGTGTAACATCCCTTCTGTTTGCCTCGTGTGTGATCTGTTGTTCCCCTCAGGTCCATCCACAGTCTGGCTCCTTTTTGAGCGTCTCAGCCTGTCTTAACTTCATTTCACTCTACAGTCCTTCCTGATCCACATACCCAGACAGATTTAAGCTCAATCCCAAAGGCTGTGTGGTGTGTGTTCATTTATTGGCCCATTGGTTGGTAAACCTGCCTGCAGAGCAATAATGCAGACAGAACTACATGTACCGGCAAATCCTCATCTTTTATTTTTATGAAGCCACCTGATGTTATGTGAAGATGTCTGACACACTTTTCCAAAAAAGCATGCACGGAGATGTTGTTCAATTCGACAGACAAAAATGATTTATTGAAGAATAAACTCTGGTAAACTTTCCAAAAATAAAAATCCTAATAAACAATTTTAACCCAAAGACAAACACTTCCTCTGTCTATTTGAATACTCAGCTGCCACGCCCACTACAGGTGGAGAGTGAGCTCATAGGTTCAGTGCAAAAAGCTGAAGCCCATCATCAGAACATTATCACATAAATAGCTCAATGTTTCTGTTTATATATTACTCAAAAGCTTAAAAGTTGATCTTGTGTTAAAAAAAATTCTCTTCCTCTCTGTTCTTCTCCAGGTGGCACAGACGGTCTTCTTCCAGAGAATTCCTTTGAGGGGTCCAAATACGAGTTTGGCAGCATCGGCCTCGCCCTGTACAGCGGTCTGTTTGCTTACGGCGGATGGTGAGTTACACACCAATGGACCTGTGTTATCAGGATGCAAGCCACTGTGCTGCCCTGTTCATTATACAGTGTCCCACGTCCTGATAATGTTTACACATGGCAGTAAGAACGAAATATCGAATTGACATTTTCTATAGTTGGTTTTACAATTCAGTGTTCAGGCTTGCAGACAAGTGTTGATTTTAACACAATTCATGCCTAAATAGGTTAGTCTTTAAAAGTTTTCACTTTTTTAAAAGCCTACTTAACATTGAGTGGTGCAGCAATGACATATTCTTGTAGGTCGACCCAGAAGTAAGCAATGCAAGGGCTCTCTCGACAAAAAACACTTTATGATTTTTGAAGTGTAAATGCAATAGTCGGAAATAGAAACATAACATCAGGCTATAAACAAACTACATCACAGTCACATGACTTTGTGTCAACACCTCTAAGCAATAGGTAGCGAATGTTTGGTGGTAGGATGTTTAGTAATCTTACTTTATGTTTGTTTGGCCGCATCTCAACATTTTGTCTGCTCTGCCTACAGGAACTACCTGAATTTTGTCACTGAGGAAATGATTGAGCCTTACAAGTGGGTATCCATAAGAATACGTTTATGATAAAATACAGGCTTGTTTGCAGAACATTGATTAGTAGCCTGGAGTTTTTACTAAGAATGTTTGCTTATGTTCTTCAGAAACCTTCCCCGGGCCATCATGATCTCTCTGCCCATCGTGACCGTAGTTTACGTTCTGACCAACCTGGCATACTTCACCTCACTCTCCCCTGAGGAGATGCTCGGCTCAGAGGCCGTGGCTGTGGTGAGTACACCCTTACTTTCTGCTACTTACTCTGTATAAAGTATGCCATATTCCAGATATTTACTATAAACTTACCTTTTTAAAGCTGGTAAAAATGATAAATGTACATATCAGTTATTTAAATTACTTTTATTTATCCCAGCAGGAAAATTAAGTTGTTTCAACAGCACAATGACAGCTTAAGAAGCGTAAAATAGACAAAAAACTAGAAAAAAAGGTATATAAAAAAATGTAAGAATAAAAAGGAAAAATATATTAAAGCATATAGAGACAAATGTATGGTGACCGACATGTGCAAAAACACCACAACAGCACAAAACACTTTCATTAGGAGAAACGTGTGTAAAGTTGGCCATCTGACACTGTCACAGAGTTATTCTGTTTCTTATTTGTCAGTATTTTTTTAAATGACTTAGTTAGCTAGCTAGCTTACAGCAGATCTTCAAATATATCGGAAGCAATCATGCAATCACATTGTTAAAATAAGCCGATAAAACTAACATTTTAGGTACGTTTCTAGTGACCGTGATGGCCAACTGTGTTTTGAGGGTTTTCAGAATCAGAAAACCTTTATTCGTACCAAAGAGGGGAAATTAGCATTTTTTTGCATCAGCATTTTGTTTATGCGCATGTGTGTCAAGTTGGTGAAGATGTGTTTTGGCAAATGGGTGTTTTTATTATTATTATTATTTTTATTATTATTTTTTTTTTAAGTGCAATGCGTTTCTTCTAATGCAAATGTTTTGGGCCGTTATAACGTGTTGTCAACTGTCAACCACCGTAGTTCGTGACACTTTGGGCGTGTTTATGTTCAGTCCATTCAGTAATCCGTTCATAAATATATGACATAACATATATTTCAAATATGAAAATGGTGTATTTGGGTATAATCTACTGATGATTTTTGCTGAAGTGGCTGACAATTAAGAGGTAGATTTTTGTCAGAAAGTCGGTGGTTCAATCCCCACTCCCTGCAGGCAACATGTCGATGTGTCCTTTGGGCAGGACACTTGACCCCAAATTGCTTCCGATGACATGGCAAATGATGTTTAAATGTGTGTGAATGTTCCCTGAGTAGGTGGCACCTTGTTACTTAACTTATGTGTGTGTCCTGCAGGATTTTGGTAACAAGCACCTGGGTCCCATGGCGTGGATCATCCCGGTGTTTGTAGGTCTGTCCTGCTTTGGATCTGTCAACGGCTCTCTGTTCACATCATCCAGGTAAATACATTCACACTATCTAACCAGGCTTGTGGAATTGATTAACAAACCTGCATAAACACACACAGAATATTACAAAAAGATGATTGTAATCATTTATCTGTTCATACAAGAGTGATCAAGTGCCAACAAGCAATATGTGAGACAGAATATGTGTGTGTGTGGGACATGTTACCGTGATACTGAGAGGTTCTTTAGATTTCGATATAATGTCCATCTAACCCAGGGGTGCCCAACCAGTCGATCGCGATCGACCGGTCGATCGCGAGATGTGTCTAAAAATAGAACAACAACATTCTGTTTTATCATTAATGTCCTGTAACATAATGTTCCTGTGCCAGAATAATGCACTTGAACGCATCAAAGCTTTGTGATTGGCCGGCGTGACCCCATGTGTCGGGGCGTGGCTGGTGGGCAGTGCACTATTTTCGCTGACGTTGTTGTCCGTGTCAACAGGAGTGACAGTAAAAAAGCAAAAAAGCCCAAAATATATAATTTTCACTCCGAGTGGGAGGATGATTATTTTTGTATCTATTCCAATTCAAAGTCCATCTGTCTCATCTGCAATGCGAGCGTGGCTTTATCGAAGAAGGGTCATTTAGGAGCGGCATTTCAAAACAGTGCAGCAGTCCATTTTCACCAGGCCCAACAACAAGAGCAAGGCTGCTACCATAGCATCTTATCGTGTCAGTCACGTTCTTGCGAAACACATGAAGTCTTTCAAAGACGGCGAAGTTGTGAAAGAAGCATTCCTGGAGGCTGCCGACGCGCTTTTGGGGGACAGTAAAAATAACAGTAGCATTTCAACAGGTTTTTGATATAATAAAAACTCAAGTTAGATACCGTTATTAATCAACTGTAAGTTTTAGTTTGTTTGAACTAATTCATTATAATTATTGTACAACATGGTATAAGAATGCAAACATTAAGATCTGTTCTGTTTAAATTGATTATGGTCTATTATCAATTCAGGTTAAGAAACTAGTGTTGCTTGCATCCTATTTTAAAGGCATTTCTTTTTATAATCTACTAAAATGCAACAAAAAAAGGGTTTGATTCTATTAATGTTGTCTTTTTTATTGCACGTTGGCTGCAGATTCCTGTGTAGCTTCAGATCTGAGTTGTCTTATTAGTACGCCTAATTTATACTTTTGTAGCAACACTGTTTTTATATAATGGCAAAGAAAGGGTTCAGAGTATTTTCTTTTTTCCCTGTGTTATATGTGGCAGCAATGTTCAATGTTTCTTGAAAACATTACCCACTGTAGTATGTGATGTGTGAATAAACTCCAACTCTGTATCAACAACACTGTTGTGTAACTTCAGTTAAATACTTGTATGTGTGTAGATTAGAAAGAGGTAAGATAAAGGATCTGCAGTATTTTATGAAGTATTCATCGTACAAAGGTCAGTTTTATAGTAGAATTGTGTATTTACCTGGTGGTAGGCTGTCAGTAATGGCTACGCCTCTCTATTTGGACTGGTAGATCTCGGCAGACTGGCAACTTTAAAAGTAGCTCTCGGTTCAAAAAAGGTTGGGCACCCCTGATCTAACCACAAAAGATAAACCCCGCCCAGTTTCTGGTGAAAACAAAGAATCATATCCAGCCAGAACACTTTTTTTTTTTTATTATGCCTAAAAGTTACCAAGTGACATATTGCACGTCAAACAAAAAAATATCTAAGTTTCGATTTTCTAAACTTTAGCAAAAGAAAATAAGAATAATTTTTTTTTAATAAGATGATATCCCGGACAGTCAATACATGTACGTCTAAGGGAAACACTTCGTCACAGCCAAATTGTGATGATAATAAGGTTAACATTCATCGTCAAAGTAGTGACAATGCTGCATTGAAAATACCAGTTTAAGTGTAAGCTTGCTGCCTGCCACTCGTCCACCAAGAGACTGACAGGACATCAATCCCCTATAGCTTTTCATTTATCTTTATATTGATGCCGATCAAATCTGCACTGAGGTAGTTGCGACTTTTATTGTTTTAGCTGCTGTTACCTTATCTTTTAGATCGACATTGTTCCTTATGAGCCAGACGTACTCTTGTTTTCATGTTGTGTGTTGTTTAAAATCCCATTCACCCCCATGTGCAGTTGAAAAAAACCCTCAAATTTGACAAACCTTTCTGGTAAAAGCCCTCCACCGACTTCACCAGAGAGTAAATCCTTTCCCAGACTCTGTTGCAGCTGCATCTTCTTTTGCTTGTCATACTTTCTGTCATATCTGTAGCTTGTACTGTTTTTTGCCAGTAGGGTTATATAGGCAACAAGAATGGTGACAGGTTGGCAAACCCTTGAACCCAGCCGCATGTGTTGATTCACTGACTTCTGAGATGATGATAGCCCTCTCTAGCTTCCTACACACCCATTGGATCAAGCCACGAAAGGACGACTGTTTATCAAATGTCTCAGTTTGCAAAAATGCTGTGCACGCTCAAATAAGGACACCTGCTCTTCCTACTCAGTAAGCATGCCTCTCCTTCCTCTCAGGTTATTCTTCGTGGGTTCCCGGGAGGGTCACCTGCCCAATCTGCTGTCCATGATCCACCCCACCCTGCTGACCCCGATGCCCTCACTCATTTTCACTGTATGTACCCTTATTTTTCACACCAATACCTTACAGCACAAGTTGAATACAATTTGAAAAAATCTCTTTAAACCAGAACGGCACCACAAGACACATGTACAGCTGTGATGAAGCATACATTAATGCTTCTGTGGGATATGTGTAGATATCTATTTAAATTAGGGCTGAACGATATACCGTGTCATGGCGATAACCGCGATATGCGCATGCGTGATATTCACACCGCAGGGACGTGCGGTTTTATTCATTTTTAAAAAAAATGCTAACGCACTTTAGCACAGAATTCAAAATAAAGATACCCTTATTACTTATCTAAACTGCACATACAATATATCTGATTTAAAGCTGAGACTCCACAGATTATTTAAGTATAGTATCTAAGCGATCCGATCTCGCAACAGGGGAAGCAACACGTACCTTTTACGGAGCTTTTACGGGAGATTGTCTCACCGTAGCTGTCAATCTGATCAAAAGACTTGTTCAATGGCATTAAAACGAGTAACGCGGTTGAATCGGTTGATCCATAGGTTGATAATGTATCTGTGGCTTTTAAGCAATTGTTTATAATCCATAATTCCATTTTTATGTAAAAATCGGAGCACAAAAGTTAGCTGCTAATGGTAGACACCAGTGTATGCAGCTTCCGGTTTTGGCTACGCGTCACTCTCACTCCTTATTTGGTAATGTGTGTGTGTTAGACTGCCGCATAGCCAGGACCGGAAGCAGCAGCCACTCTGGTGGCTACCATTAGCAGCTAACTTTCGCTCTGCGATTTTTACATTAAAATGGAATTATGGATTATAAATGAAATCATTTTTTTATACAGAGACGTTAAAAAACCTATGGATTAACCGATTCAGCCGCGTTTTTTTCTCGTTTTAATGCCATTGAACACGTCTTTTGATCAGATTGACAGCTACGGTGAGACATCTCCCCTAGAAGCTACGTAAAGGTACGTGTTGTGATGTCTGTGTTTGCTTCCCCTGTCCGAGTTCGGATTACTCAGTGATGATACTATATACCTAAATAATCTGTGGAACCTCAGTTTTAATCGGATATCTTGTATGTGCAGCTACGATAAGTAATAAGGGTACTTTTATCTTGAGTTCTGTGCCAAAGTGCGTTAGCATTTTTCGCTCAGGGGTCATTTAGATGCTTCTTATGAGACTTGTGTCTTGTTTTGGTAAAAATGGTTTGTATCGTCAGTTAGCTGAGATTATTTCCGTTAATCTGGTATAACACATTAATAGGTTCTTAAATATTAAGATCCCCTGAGACACAGTGTCGTGAAAAAAAAAAGTAAAGTACCCGCCGGGACTTTGGGGCTTAAACAGGTTAAAAAAACGCAATATATACTGCAGGGGGGGGGGAAATCGCGATGTCAGTTTTTTTCAATATCGTGCAGCCGTTATTTAAATAAAATGTTTTCCTGTTGTGTCTACAGTGCATGATGACGCTGCTCTACGCCTTCTCCAACGACATCTTCTCGGTCATTAACTTCTTCAGCTTCTTCAACTGGCTCTGCATCGCCATGGCGATCGTTGGGATGATGTGGCTCCGTTTATAAGAAGCCAGAGCTGGAGAGACAATCAAGGTGAGAAAAGGTGTGTGTGTGTGTGTGTGTGTGTGTGTGTGTGTGTGTGTGTGTGTGTGTGTGTGCTGTGTGTGTGTGTGTGTGTGTGTGTGTGTGTGTGTGTGTGTGTGTGTGTGTGTGTGTGTGTGTGTGTGTGTGATGTGTGTGTGTGTGTGGTGTGTGTGTGTGTGTGTGTGTGTGTGTGTGTGTGTGTGATGTGTGTGTGTGTGTGTGTGTGTGTGTGTGTGGTGTGTGTGTGTGTGTGTGTGTGTGTGTGTGTGTGTGTGTGTGTGTGTGTGTGGAAAGGAAGTGCACTATGCCTCCTGACTGAACCAGTTGCTGCAGGACTCCCCAAAACACAGAACATCATTGTGCTATTGTTTCACTTTGTTCACATGTAAGTGTGTGAGCTTTCACGTGTGTGTGTGTCCTTTCAGAGCATGATAGCTGTCCTAATTCTACTAATTTGCCCCCTGGCACGACACTGTGTGTTGTCAGAGGCAGTGAAGTGAAAGAAACGGATAGATTATTATATTGGCGTGTGTGTGACTATATGTGTGACAACCCCACTATTGGTTTGAAAAAGGTTGGGCCTCACAAGGAGGGAACACGGGTATTTGTGTGTGGTGGGACAGTGGAGGCACTGTCTCTCTGCTGACATCCATCTCTCTCTCTTTCACTCTCCCACTCTATTTCTTTCTCCTTTCTTTGTCTGTCACATTCCTGATGTTTAACAGATCTGGAGCCGAGATGCCAGACAATCACCCAATTAGATTTACTGATCCATCTCTTTAAAAGTTTAAGGTTAAAAGTATCTGTTTATCATGAATCTAGTGGATTCATTCTCTTAAAGAGAAAACTAAAATGTGCAGTATAGGATGAACAGCTCCATGGATCAAACACTCTTTGTAGCTGTAAAAGGAATAGTTAAAAATGTTGGTAAATACTCATACTCTCTTTCTTACTGATAGTTAAATAAGAGTTATCTGTCCAAAAAGCAGGAAGCTAGAAGCTTTTTGACACAGTGAGTAGAAATACACTTGGCAGATGTTTGGTAGAAATTAAATATCTATATAAAAGTCTTCACAACATGGTTTGTTGGTTATTATAAGTAGCCAATACATTGTCAGGAAAAATACATTGATGTTGATGATGATCAAATACATGTTCTTTCTCTTAGTCAAGTGCCATCTAGTTCTATTATATTGGAGAAGAGTCAGAAATGTCTTCCCTCTCTTCTCCCTGCAGGTAAATATTCTGCTGCCGGTGAGTTTCGTGCTCGCCTGCCTCTTCCTCATCATCGTCTCCTTCTGGAAGACTCCAGTGGAGTGTGCGATCGGTTTCGGCATCATCGCCACCGGAGTTCCCGTCTACTTCGTCGGTGTGTGGTGGAAGGGCAAACCCAAGTGGATGTTGAATGGAATCTGTGAGTATAACATCTTCCCCACCTGTGAACGTTTAACACTGTGAAAATTGTGACTTGTGTGTAATTGCCGACTTCATTTGTGTGTGTTTTGCAGTCTCGACCACAGCCTTGTGTCAGAAGGTGATGGAGGTAGTTCCTCAGAGGTCTTAAACTGAATTTCCGGATGCACCAACAGTGACCTCGGGGCTCTGACATCACAGTTGATGACCTCTGTTGACCCCTTTCAACCCACTCCTTCTCCCTCTCACACACACATACACACACCCTCTGCAGGGTGCTGATAAGGACCTGATGAAGACGAGTGTCTGAGGCTACTGTGTCTTTGCTGTCTTAAACGTTTTTTTTGTTGTGTTATGTTGCTGACTTTTTTAATGCGGATATTTGTTGTCACTAACTTCCTTTTATGGTAGGTTTTTATGCATTTCAATGAATTAACTGTGTTTTTTTCATGTAAAATATCATCCCTCATCAGAAACGTGTTTTTAGCAAGTTGTGCCTTACGTGGCCACGAAGATCATGATGTGGTATTAACCTACAAACAGATGTATACATCTAGATCCATGCAACCAGGAACTTTTTTATAAACACTAACGAGACTCCACTTATAATCTCCTTGAGCCAACTTTTGCTCTTAAGTACTGTAGAAGTTGAATATTGTTTGATATTCATGAAGCTTTCTGTCGACAGTGTGTCATGTCTGTCACTATACGTGTCTGTCTGTTGAGTTTTAGCTCTGCGCTCTAGTCTGCCTTTATATGCTGCTGTAGGGAGAGAGTGAAGTTGACTACACATCTTGTAGGAGATTTTTGAAGTTTCACATTTTTACATTAAAAATACTTAGTTTTCTTATCTAAATCCCTCAGAGGAAGGAAGAATAACTATAAATAGAAGTTTTTGTTCAAAGCCTTTTCATTACCAACTTATCTACAGCATAACTTGGTAAACCTGAGCATATTATGTGCAGTCTACTGATGTCACCTCACAGGATTCCTGGGTAATGCAGTTTTTTAACTGGTTGCTCTTTAAATCATCATGTGGTCAGATTGAAAGAGGTGCATAAACCAGTATTGGGAAAATTGTTTCATGACTTGTGACAAAAAGCGGGTCAGAATTCAAAGTATGTGGTCTTTGTGCTGCTGTTGATTATTTTTTGGATCACCAATCTAATTTTCACTTACAGTATGGGATCAATATCTGAGCGTACTGAGCCCGGCTTACTGTGTGTGTGTGTGTGTGTGTGTGTGTGTGTGTGGGATTTGTTACATTGTGGGCCCAGTCAGTTTCTCTTGTATTGCGCCATCTACAAGCTGCTGTCAATGAAGAGAGATAAAAGAGGAAGGATATGTTTCTTTCTTTTTTTAGGGGGGGGGGTGAAGAACAGAAGGAGCACACTACATTTACAGATCCTCGTATGAACTGCTAGTTTTTTATTTCATTCATACGTTTTGTCACACACAATAACAGTTACAATAACAAGGTTAGTGCTGTATTATTAATGTCGACCCTCCTCCTGGCAACGGACCAAAAGTACACATTACCGTGGCGGCGCTGTTTCCGTAGTGACTGCAGTGGAGGTGGATGCAGGAGGGGTTAATGTGTATGTTTTAGAGCTAGAGCCTTTCTAACACTCCAGCCATCGCACAGAGCGGATGGGACACTAACCCGAATAGGACTGTAGAAAGTTTATTTATTTATTTTTTAGTAAACTTGTTGTTTATTGTTATTAGTCCCTCTAATTTGTTTAAAGGGCATTTTTGTGAAAAGTGCTTTACAAATAAATCTTTAAGTTTTTTTTCCAACTCTTGTGTTCTTTTGTTTTTGGTGGATAATTTGTCTCACTTGTTCCCCTTTATTTAAAATGTAAAATGTGGCTTCATACCAAGTAAAAAATCAGCATAAGAATCAAAAAGCAAAAAATACAGAATGTAGTGATCGTTATGAATAATAGTTCAAGCTGTTTAAATAATTTATTTTCAATTTCAACAATGGATGAAAATCACTTCGTGTCAAACCAGCAAAAACAAGCATTAGCAAACTCTATAGTTCCCTTAAGTATTTTAGCTTCTTTTAGCTCTTTGTTTTGGTTTCATGGCCCACATTATTATCCGTTTCAGTTCAGGCCCGTGGCTCATACAGTATATTTGTTCATTTTGGTACAGAAGATGAGATAAACATGCTGAATACTACCTGACCAGTGGAGTGGCCTGCACTACGAATCCAGTTCAACAGACCCTGGATATCTCTGAGTTATCTGGCTTCTAACAAACGAGATCTTACGAAGCCCCCTAGTGGACATGGAGAAGAAAAACAAATGTATTTTAAAAAAAAATAAAATACAAAATGTTTTGCGAGATCTATCACAAAACTTTTCATTTAGCTCAATGTACTTCCTGGTCAGTTCGGCTGCTACGGCAACACAGAAACCACAACAATGGAGCGGTTCACCGATTTTACTTTGAGCTTGGCCTTAAATATAAAGATATAACATCAGTGCTTGGCATTAGATGAGAGAAAACAACGCTGTCAGTTGAACGGCGGTCAATATAAAATTCTGAAGTTTTTGCCAATCCGATCAGAAATTTAAGAAAACCGGAGATTTTTGGATCTTCAAAGAGCCCGATTCCTATAGAGAACCGCAGTGACGCGTCCTAAAACCCGGATGTAAACTCCTTCCGGTTCCTTCGTCAAAAACGCAATGCAATTTCTCCATAGAATTTGGGAAAATAGCTCAAAATAAGGTCTGTGGTTGACACACATTTAAGAGACGGATCACGTTTTGTTCAGCCGGATAATATCCACATGTCTATCCTACTTTTATAATTTTCGAAGCATACATCTAGTCGCAAGAAGCTAAATGCTATAAAGGAACTACAGCAGGGTTGCTGCTTCAACGTCACGCCAATTTAAGATCCATATTCAAACATACAGATTGTAAATGGTACAAGTTGAAGTGTTTGTTTGAACAGTTTGCAGGAGGCAGGTACTTGCTTTCAAGCAGAACAGGGCAAACAAACTTAGCGGGAGTGTTTTACGTGTTCGGTGTAATGATGTAAAACGGCCTGGACAACTTCTGTAGTCCTATTCAGCCACTTGTTAACAACCATCGTTTTTCAGACACGTAAACTCTTCAAAAATCACCAGCGGGGTCACTGCTGATGTATTTAATGTCGTAGAACAAAACGTGATCTGTCTCTTCAATTTGTGTCAAACACAGACCTTATTTGGAGCCGGACGTGGTAAAAATGCTAACTTACTTCCGGGTTTTAGGACAAGTCACTGCGGTTCTCTATGGCCAGACAGGCAAGCAATTGCATTAAGCCATTAGAAATCGACGATCGGGCTCGATATATGGTTAAATATAGCAGTAGGCTATCGATTTTCATAGATGAGAGTAACATCTACGTGACTTTACGGCCCCGCCCACTTTTGGGGGAAACGCTTTCATTTGAACGGCGATCAAGCCTGAAGCCACAGAGCTCTTCTTTTACTGTCCTTTCTTCTTAGAGGAAGTACAGAAACACTGAACTCTGGATTATTTTTAATGTTTGAGGTGCAATAAACAACACAGCAGCTTTTTGGCATGATACAACTATTATGTTCCTCCTCGAGTAACAGCTGGAGAAATTACAGCCTCGCCTACTGATTTTAATTTAACCATATATCAAGACCGATTGTCGATTTCCAATGATCGAATGTAATTGTTTGCCTGACTGGCCATCGTAATCGAGCTCTTTGAAGATCAAAAAATCCACGGTTTTCAAAAAAAATTGATCGGATTGGCAAAAACTTCAGTATTTGTATTGACCGCCATTCAAATGACAGCTTTGTTTTCCCCCAAAAGTGGGCAAAGTGTCAGTACCATGGATGTATAATAAGAAATGGATACAGCGTGGGAGGCGGGGCCTCATTCATTCCTATGAGAGCTGCTCATTAGCGAATGATGATAAAATGGCCCAACTTTTGAGAGAGTGAAACGTCACAGATTACCCAGCATGCCTGAGAAGTACCCGTATGTGCACTCATAGAGCATGCGCAACTTTAACCAAAATGCTCGTTCACATCAAGCACGTCAATTTGCGTACACGTAACAGCACCGCGCGTTCATGACAGCATGGTAATGGCTTGTTGTTATCATGGATTTGATATGAACGAGGCGGCAGTTAGCAGCTAGCGGCTAGCTAGTAATGATGCTAATGTACACATCAATCGTTATGTACTTATATTACGCTGTAACAGGATCTAGTGATATCCAACAGAGCTTCATTTAGCATGAAATAATTATTGCACTGTATATATATATATATATATTTATATACAGTGCAATAAGCTTCTTAGTGCAATACGAAGCTACAGGGACGTTAATAATGTCGGTAATATTAACTTTATTTAATACAACATTTACGGTACAAGATTTAATCATACAGCCCATGTAGTATGATAATGAATTACAGCAAACATGTGCAATATATCCATTATTACAGCTCCGTGGAATGGCAGTAAGACGATATGGGTCCGTTCTTATTGTGCATCCATGGGTAAAGATAAACGCAACTCACATTGGTTTCTCAAACAGCATCTCTGTAAACTACGTGTATTCACTAAATTTCACTCTCTGCCTTTAACGGCTCGTTGTAGCTCCAATAGCTCCAATAGCTCCAGCCCCCACCCTCCCTGTGAGCAGTGTGCTCTGATTGGTCGGGACACGTAACATGAATGTGCCGGGCGGCGCGGTCCCGTGGGTTAGATGCGCGTTCATAATGCAGAGGGAAATAACTCTCAGAATAACGTTATTAGCACATTTTTACAACTTGAGGAACGAATGTTTTTAATAAGGGATATACAAACGTTCATACTGGGTAGTTTATTTAGTTTAAAAAAAATTATCCAACGAGTTACAGACCACTCTTTCCCCATGTAAGTCAATGGGAAAAAGTGTTTCCGGGCCTGGCAACCAAACGGAAGTGTAGTACCGCCGTTTGGCCAGCACGAATATTTTCATCTGAGTCCGGCGCACTTCCTGGGGGCTTGGTCAGTGTCACTACCCGATCTGCAGCTCTGCCCGATCTGCAGTGCGCATGTGCGAGATGGTCCGCCATATTGGACAACGCCAGACGGCATCCCAAGTAGGACAACATTGACACAGTGGCTTTTGGCAAAGCTCAAATGGAAAACTCGAGAGAGAGATGAATTTAACTTCTGTTACGGCCCGTCCACACAGCGGCGTGCGTTGACGCTTGCCGGCGGGCGTGTCTGACACTCGACCAACAACCAATCACATGAATCTCCCGCCCCTGACACATAAGCAGCGGTTTGATTGGCTAGAGCTTGTACTGGCATATGATTCGATTGGCTGACGCTTCTACCGAGGCGTCAAAAGTTAAACATTGCTCAACTTTTGCAGCGAGTCACGCCAGCGACGCTCCGTGTCGCTTCCCACGATGCAGTTAGGCTAAAAGTGACGTCACCCCATTCAAAGTGAATGGGCAGAAGCGTTGGAAGCTTCAACGCACGCCGCTGTGTGGACGGGCCGTTAGACAGCTATATGCCATACATTTTTGCACACATTCACAGTAAATATGTATTCAGTATGATAGCTGTCTAACAGAAGTTAAATTCATTTCTCACTTATTCTGACAATGTACTTAACCCCAAATAAAAGAACCCCATAAAAAGAGTTGTTAAATAATAGTGAAGTCACGTTGTAATAACAATAACTCATATCAATAACTCATCTCTCTCTCGTTTTATTTTTGAGCTTTGCTAAAAGCCACTGTGTCAAGTGTCCATCTTGGGTTGCCCTCCGGAGTTGTCCAATATGGCGGACCATCTCGCACATGCGCACTGCAGATCGGGCAGAGCTGCAGATTGGACAGTGACACCCCGAACACATCTGGTACTGACACAGGGCCGTACATTTTGCCCGGAAGTGACGTAGGTGTTACTCTCATCTTTAGGCACGGGTTTCACATAAGTGAAAGACACCTCAAGAGAACACTCAGAGCGAGGGGACATGCACGTCCCTCTGAGCTGAGTTATTGACAGATTCGAATTTCTGTATGAATGATAATGGGACACATTCACGTCTGCACTCATTGCCGCGGACTGTACGTAATGTTACTTTGATCCGGTTACTTATGTTGTGGCAGGTGCTTTCACTGAGTTGATCCGGAGCAGGTTTGGTGTTCAGCATAAGTTACCATGGAGATCTACCCCGGTAAGAAGTGAACCAGCGTCGCAGGACCGGAAACCTAGAGTTAACCCTGAAGTTACCTCGCTAACTGCAAATCCTGATTCGTATTACAGGGCACTGCTCAGTAGGCTACATGATACTGAAAAAGATAGCTACTAGCTAAGGACCACAGTATAGCATTTAGCAGCTTAAAAGTTAAATGAAAGTAGAATGCCAAATGCTAATGTTTGATGGGCTTCATGTTCAAATAGGCAAATGTTTTTCACATGTAAGACAATATTGCTTTACAAGATTGTACACATGTCAACAGTTTGTTTACAGCTTAATGCACTGCGCCCTAGTGGCCAGAAACAAAGAATATATCTAGCTTTTATTAACACAGATTTGATAAAGATGGTAGAATTCTTTAATCAAAACATGTCCTTAATTTCACATCCTAAGTCTGTACACATTTTTTTTCTCTAATTCATTATTTGAAAAAATTGGTAAATACAACAACTGCACCAACTATTACAGACAGCTTTTTATGGTTTGGGAACTTCTCAAAAACGTTATGTTGTCCAATTTTAAAGTCTCTACCTCCATTTTTGAATTATTGAAATTACACAA